CAAAGAGCTTCAGATAATGAAGGAATGCTGAGCGCAGCAGAAATCGTTGCTTCCAGGGAAGAGCACACTAAAGTGGGATTCCCTTCTGCATGCTACAAATATGCTTTATTACCATTGGTTAATAGAGAAGTCGCTTTGTCCTATGGCAGGGAAGAATATAGGTAGGTGGAAAACTAAATGAATGCTCGGAGGAAGAAGGCACAGTCAGAGAGATGCCATGTAGCTGCCGAAGGAGAATGATGCCAGAACATTACCAGTAAGCTACAGCCCCATGGTGATGCACAGATTACTAGAAATGGGTTAATTTGAGATATAAGGGCTAGTTAGGAACATGCCTGAATCACTGGCCAACTAGTGTTGTAATTAATGTAAGCCTCTGTGTGTTTCTTTGGGACTGAATGGGCTGTGGGACCAGGTGGGACAGAAACTTCCATTGATAACACACCAAATTGGTTAGCCAAAACCAATTGGTCAGCCCTGAAAACAGACATACATAACATTACACAAGCTTAGCAGGCTGTATTTCTACGTGTAGGAATATATAGATATTCAGACACAGGTGTAACAACAAAGGAAGGAAAAAGGCCATGAATTTGAAAAAGAGCAAGGGGGATGCATGGGAGGAGTTGAATGGCGGAAAGGATTTAATTACAATCTCAAAAACTTTACAGTTCCCTTTAAAAAAAGAAGCTGCACTGAGTGCTCTGATGAGATGTGGATGGTCTTTGAGTCTACAGAGACTGATGGCTGTGTTGTCACTAACAGAGAACATTTGTCTATAATGCAGAGGAGGAATTTTTATTGCTTTCCATCATTTTTATAGGAAAAAAAGCATTTTAAAATGGGGGATATTTAAACTATGCTACATAGTTACCACTATTTCAGAGGAACTGGGTTTGGTTACCAGCACTCACAAGGCTGCACACACGTGTAACTCCAACACCCTCTTCTGGCCTCCAAGTTTCCCACACATGCACAGTGTATACATGCAGGCTCACAGACGCATACATAATTTTTAAAAATTTAAATGTGTCTTTTGAAAAATGCTTTGCTCTATAGCCTAGACTTACCAAAAACAAACAAACAAACAAACAAACAAACAAACAAAAAAACTCACCTCACTTGTAGCCGAGGCCAAACCAGGGTGACCTCAAACTTGGGGCAATTCTCCAAATGCTGAGATTACATGCACGGGCTACCATGCCTGGCTAAACTCTGCTTTTAATGGACTCTTATAATATGGCTTACTACAACAGATAAGAAGTAATTTAAATATTTTATATTTTCATTTACTATTTATGGTGGTAGTTTGAGCAGGAATGGCTCCTGTAGACTCATGTGCTTGAATGTTTGGCACACAGGGTTAGGTGCTGGGAACTGAATCCAGGGTCTCTGCAAAAGCAGTCAGCATTCTTGACTGCTGAACCATCTTTCCAGCCCGGAGATATTTTTTAAAAAGAGTTCTGTGCTAACAAATGTTTGTAGTTCCCTAATACTCACATTTAAAATTTATCTTTTTATTTTATGATGAAGTTAATCTTCTAAAGGAGTCAGAGATATTTGTATTTTACAACATTTATAAGAAATATTTTGCCTCAAGTCTAGTGGTTTACTCAATTTTATTGAAGATGTGTACATATTTATACCTGAGTATACTTGGGTATAAGTGTGTGTAAACACTTTGGGATTCCTGAAACTGTAATGATAGACCTTCCATTAATGTTGTAGTGTATTACAAAAACATTAATGGGCAGTGTTTTAACTGTGCCTTGTAAGACATAACATCCTTGATTTGATGAGACAAGGCATTCAGAAAAGATCCCTGACAGAGAAATTAGAGTTTAATAGCAAAATGACTGGCGGGACCGCAGGGACCCGACCTGGACCCAAGTCCTGCGTCTGCTCTGTCCTCAGTAGGACGCTTTGGACAAGGACCGTTTCCAAACCTTGGTTCCCAGAATATCTGCTGGGATGATGATGCACAGAGCATGGAGTGGCAAATGCTTTATCCACTGTGCCATGTCATTGACCCCGGGAATGATTTTTTTCCTTTTTCTTTAAAGATAGGGTTTCTTGTAGCCCAGCCTGTCCTTAAACTTCCTGTGTAGCAGAAACTGACCTTGAACTCCTGATCCACGATACCTCCACCTCCCAAGTACTGGGATTACAGTTCGCCACCAGGTCTGGGCTGATTGTTTCCAGGGAAAGTTTTCATTTTATTGACAGTATGAGAATTCACTGTGGCATCTACCTTTTATTTTTATAAGTGCCCCCATTTTATGGGAGCTTTCGGAACCCTGCACTAAATGCTGTGAAAAGGGGAGTATAGTGGGTTGGTTTCCCCGATGACTTTGCCTTTAACTGTTAATCAGTACAAGAAATTGATAAAGACAAGATTCTATTTATAAACAAGTGATTCTTTTATATAGTGATTACCACACATTGTTATTTTTATAATGAACTATTAAACTAGGGATTTTTTTTTCCTAAGACAGGGAGGGTCTCCAGGCTGTCTCAACAAGAGCACTAGCTGCTCTTCCAGAAGACCTGGGTTCAATTCCCAGCAACCATGTGGCACCTCACAACCATCTGTAAGTCCAGCTCCGGGGACTGGACACCCTCATACATGTAAGCAAAGCACCACTGCACATAAAATATATATATTTGGGGTTTTGAGACAGGGTTTCTTTGTGTAGCCATGGCTGTCCTGTAGACCAGGCTGGCTTCCCAACTGTTGGAATTAAAGGCATATGAATCACCGGCTGGCTAATTAATTTTTTTAAAAAAATAGATTCTCATGTAGCGAGGATGGCCTTAAACTCGTCATCCTCTCTCCTCTACCTCCCGAGGGCTGGGATTACTGGGGGGGGGGGGGCATAACCACACATAAATCTGTGCTCCTTTTACACTTTGATGAAACGAAACTGAAATTCCTTCTCAATGCCAATTTCCCAGACTCAAAGAAGTGGAATTTTCTGTTTCCTAGTGTTCTTCTGTCACCTACTCAGTTAGCAAGGACATTCCATTTCTGTCACCTTGATTATGGTATCTCTTCCTACTGGACACCAAGATTTACACACACACACAGAGAGAGGGAGGGAGGGAGGGAGGGAGGGAGGGAGGGAGGGAGGGAGAGAGAATGAATCAATCCTATCCTATTTTTGTTACAATGATGTTTCTAAACCCTGGCCTGGATTAGTCATAGCTCCACTGTTCATCACAAGTATGTACTCAGTGCTTACTTTAGGAGAAGCACAACGTTATATACTGTCAGGTGTACAAGCAAATTCAAGGTATGTATGCATAGCTGTAGCCCAGAGTCAGGAAGCGGCAATAACACATAAAGTTCAGAAAGTATTATGGAACCCAGTAGAGGTAAAACTTATTTCCAGATGGTGACGCCACACTGTGAAGTCTTAGAGAATGGATATAAATTGTCAACATCAGGAGAGGTGTGTGTGTGTGTGTGTGTGTGTTGTATTTGTAGGGGAATGGTAAGTATTCCAAGCGTTAAGGGGGCACTGGCAATCTACAGAAATGTAATGAATGAATAACTTATTAAGTACTGCATATGGTCTGGTTTACCATGGGCGAGAGAATGAAAGGGAAACGTCAGAAAATAGAACTTTGAAACCAAATTAGTATTTTGGGCCGAGACAGCAAGGGGCTGTTGAATATCTCGCGCCCTAGTTGTGCTTGAATATAGCTCTAGCAGTTATGAGGAACATATGCTGGGGGCGGGGCGGGGAATGCTTTAGGAAGAGGGGTATCAACAAGAACAATGCTGCCTTGACACTGTTCACGGGATGAGAACTTTGACGAGGTGCGGGCCATGGGTACCCATGGAGTGGATGGATGGATGTGGGAGCCACTGCAGGGACCAACAGACTACGACGTCTGACAGAGGAGTGGGAAGAAAAGGTCTCCAATTCAAACACTGAACTTTTGCAAGTTAACTGTATTCCTGAGAAGAGTGGACTGCCCGGGAAGCAATCTGAAAAAAAGGTCAAGTTACACCCGGGCTAGTGAGCGTTTCCACACTGGTGAACTCTCTTAGAAGAAGCCGCCCAGATGGTGGGGGGAGAAACGGAGCGCCGACAGTGGAGAGGTGGAGGGCGGCCGCAGGAACCTTACTGCCGAGGCTTGCTCAGGAGCGAGTCGGTGCCGCTCAAGCGGTGCAGTGGAGTCCGCTCGTCACCCCCGCCACCCCGGCTCCGCTTCCGGTCTCCACAGACGCCGGGGTCGCGAGCCGCCTTCCCGCCCGGTCCCCGTGCGTCAGCGACTGCCAGGCCAGGAGATTTTAATACTCGGCGACGCCTTTAACCCTTCGGAAGGACTGGCAGGCGGTCCTGCAGCGACGAGTCAGCACGGCCCACCTCCCCGACGCAGCTCGACCACGCGCCGCCACCCTCCCGCCGCGCCGCGGTTCGAACGCGAGGGGCGTGGCCGGACGGAACCCCAAACCCGGCGACCTCTAGACGTCGCGAGATTTGATAGGCGACTTCGGCTTTTGCGCTCCGGAAATGGAGTAGCGAGGGATCCCTGCGCGTTTGGTTACCTTGGAGAGCCGTTTTGGGTGCTGCTCTGTGGACGACCGAGGCCCCACCAGGGCGTCCCGCGGAAGGGTGAGCACCGCCCTCGGCGGGTGGCGCTTCCGGTCGGGGCGGCGGAGGGACCGGGGAGGCTGCAGCCGGGAGGACTGGGAGGCGCGGCGGTCGCTCCACGTCTGAGCCTCTCTGCCCTCGGGGCGGCTCTTGAAGGCGCTTCTGGAAGGAGCCGCGCGCGTGTTCTGACCTCTGTGCCTGTTGCTTTTGAAGTTGAAGGCCCAGACGATGAGCCTTGTCGCCTCTTGTCCCCCTCAGTTGAAGAGCGAGTTTCCTCTTTGGGCTGTTAGCGCAGAGTTCTAGAGTCCTTATAATCCAGTCCCCTTAAACCGACGCGTGTACGTGCTCACCCCGTCTGCCCACATCTTTTTTTAAAAAAAATGTGTATATGTGTGTTTACAGAGGCCAGGTGTGTGTGTATGCGCGCGCGCTCGCTCGCGCAAAGAGGTCAGAAGTGGGCGTCGGATCCCCTGGAGCTAGAATTACAGGCAGTTGTAAACTGCCCGGTGTGGGTACTGGGATCTGATCTGTATCCTTTGAATGAGTAGTGAGTGCTCTTGACTACTGAGCTATCTCTCCAGCCGCTCCCCCAACCTTTGAGGTTTCCTTTAAACCCTGAAGCCGTATTTGCTTAATTTTCTTTATTATCTATATTTTTTTGAATTATAATTACATTTTTCCTTCCCATGTATCCTGCTTGCTCTCTTTCAAATTCATGGCCTCTTTAGTTGTTATGCACATGTATACTATATATGTGATATATATCATATATATATATACACACACACACATATACATACACAACCTGCTCAAACCTGTTTGCATAATGTTGCTTATATGTATATGTTTTTCAGAGCTGATCTTATATTGTATTGAATAACCGGCTTGTGTGCTCAGCTCTTGGAAGGACTATTGTATAGACCAGGCTGGCCTCCAATTTAGAGATCTGCCTGCCTCTGCCTCTGCTGGGATTAAAGGCGTGCACCACCACCACCTGGCAAGAGACAGAGTTTTACTTTGTAACCAAGTTGGACTCAAACTCGAACTCCTGTTTCAGGCTCCTGAGTGCTGAGATTACAGCTACTGATTTGATTACTCGAGCTTCTTAAAAATTCTAATTTCTCATCTTACAGTTAATTCTCAGTCATTTGCAGTGCTGTTTCATTTCCTACTGGGGGCTGGGAAGTGGCTCAGTGGTTGAGAGAGCTGACTCTTCTTATACAGAGTGTGTAAGAAAACATCCTTCTGGAAACTTAGTTCTGAGGACTTTGATACCCTCTTCTGACCTCTGTTGTGTGGTATTTTGTGTTCTGACAAATAAAGCTTGCCTGAAGATCCGAGGGTGGACTAGTTAACCACAGAGGCCAGGCAATGGTGGCACACACCTTTAATCCCAGCACTGGGAGGAGGAAGCAGGAAGATTTAGGAGTTCAAGGCCACACTGGGCTACAACTAGTCTAAAAGAGAAACAGAACCAGGTGGTGAAGGTTCTCGCCTTCGATCCCAGCATTTGAAGGCTCATGCCTTTAATTCCAGCACCAGGGAGGTGGAGATGGGATCTTGCCCATTCGGTTTGAAGACTCAGATAGAGGTAAAAAGTCCAGCAGCTGGCTGCTCTGCTTCTCTGCTCCTTCAGCTTTCTTGCACTCCCTAATATCTGATTCCAGGTTTTTATTAAGATACTAGAATTTGTGCTACAACACTCTGTCCAAAATTGTTCACTTCCTGGTTTTTCATAAGCTAATAAAATAGTGCTAATTTTTTTTAATTCTTACAGATCTTAAAAATTGTACAGAATTTCAAGATGAGCGATACTTCTGAAGCGACTCCAAATTTTGAAGAGATGTTTGCAAACAGATTCACACAAGACGACAAAGAGTACCAGGAATACTTGAAACGTCCCCCTGAGTCCCCTCCAATTGTTGAGGAGTGGAATAGCAGAGGTGGCGGCAACCAGAGAAACAGAGGCAACTGGTATGTGTTATTTCCGGAGGATAAATGCAAGCCACACTGTCAGCATTTGAGAGGTTGAGATAATAGGTGCATGAGTTCTAGGCCAGCCTGGACTGTCCAATGAGACCCTGTCTCAAACTAATATTTACAAATATACTTAATAAAACTAGTTTTGTACTTGATTTCTTAAAGGTAGTCTTTTGATTAATTTATAAAGTTTCTAAACGGAAATGGAAAATTATGTAATAATTCAATAAAGAAGCGACCTGGTTTTAGCATTTTAGTGGGTGTCAATGTGACGACACCTGGACCTGTTCCCCGCTCTGACAGTAAGAGGCGCCAGTGTGATGTTGGAAGAGTAGCTTAAGTCTTAGGAGATGGACAAGTGCCGTGCCGGGCCCCAGAAATACGGCTCCACCCTCCATTACCCTGTGTTACAGGGAGAACTCAAATGCCCTGGGATTGACGTCTTTGTGGTTTTGTTTTTAAAGGAAAGTTAATGTTTTGTTTTTCTTTTGGTAGGCTGCAAGATAACAGACAGTTTAGAGGTCGGGATAACAGACGAGGATGGCCAAGTGACAATCGATCAAATCAGTGGCATGGACGGTCATGGGGTAACAACTACCCACAGCAGAGACAAGAGCCTTACTACCATCCACAGTACGGACAGTATGGCCCCAACCAGCGGCCTCCATATGGTTACTACTGACAGACACGTTGCGGCTTTAACAAAAGGCCATTCATTTTGATAATGTGCTAAATGTTCGTTTGTCTTCTTTTGGTCATAGTTTTTCATTCTGTTTTACCGAATGGGTTGTTAATTGTTTAGAATTTGAGACTTGAAAATAAATTGATCTTGCTAGAGGTGTGACAATTGATGGGAATAAAGTGTGGATTATATTGTTTGGCTTTATCTTAAATACTGTTTGTTTTATGATTTAATAGTGTTTTGAGTTTGGTATGTTTTCCTTATTTAATCTCTAGGAGTTCTATCTTTAACACATAAATTTTAAATAGGAAATGCTGGCTATTACTTTATAGAAGAGTTCCAGATGTGCTCACCTTGGACGTTTCCTAGAGTGAGGACAGTCGGTCTGTGAAAAACACCTGTGATTATTTGTCATGTATTATACACAGTAGCAGCAACTGAGAGGTAAATAAACGTGAATCCGCTCCTGAACCAGTTTGGTCTTGGTCCTTACTCTTTCAGCTCATCCTCCTGAACTGGTGGGATTGTAGCACTGAATATTATTTGTGCTCCAAGACTTTTGCAAACTTGCAGTAGGGAAGAAACGCATGTTCTCTAAAAAAAACAATACTCATGTAAATATTGCTGCATTTTGACTATTCTGGTATTTCACGTGTGTTGTAGAATATTTTTAGGTGTTACATTTGTTTAATGATACAAAGATGTGTTGTATTTTTTTTTATGTTGCATTTGTTTAACTCTGAAGCTGTGCTACTTGCCTGTCTAAAACACCTGATTGGTCTAATAAAGAGCTGAACAGCCAGTAGCAAGGCAGGAGAAAGGATAGGCGGGCTGACAGGAAGAGAGAATAAAGAGAAAGAGATGTCTGGAAGAGATCAGTTGAGGAAAGAAGGGGCCAGCCACAGAGTAATAGTGTAGGTAAGATATACAAAAGTAAGAAAAGGAAAAAACCCAGACACAAAAGGTGGGTGGGATAATTTTAAGTTAAAAGCTGGCAAGAAACAAGCCCAGCTAAGACTGGGAATTTGTAGTAATAAGACTCAGTGTGGATTTATTTGGGAGCTGGGTGGCGGGCACTCTAAAAGAACAAAGAGTAAAAGAGCAAAAAGGGGGAAAAACCTTCATTTTATAAGGTTATTTTCACTTTGAAATGCTTCTCTTTGATGCTTTACAGCTACAATGAGGCTGTCACTTTTAGAATTCTTGAAATACTTTATGATTACAATAGATTTATTCAAGTAATTTTTTTTTTCAAGACCGGGTTTCTCTGTCACTTTGAAGCCTGTTCTGAAACTTGCTCTGTAGCTCAGGCTGGTCTCAAACTCACAGAGATCCACCTGCCCCTTCTTCCTGAGTGCTGCGATTAAAGGTGTGAGCTACCACTGCCCAGCTCAAGTGAAAATTTTAAAAGACTAATTCAGTATATTATATGTGTAAACTGTGAAGGAATGAATAAACTGCACAAGATGTATGCAGCTCTTATGTTTTGACAGCCCATTTATTTACATGGTAATGACCTAACTGACTTTTTATTATGCTGTGCTTTATATGTATTGAATAAGAGTTAACTTTCTAAGTTTACCTTTTTCTCTGAGCCACTTGAGATGGACTTTCCCAGGTTCTCTGTGATCTGAATGTATCTTCTCCAAGTCCCTTTTCTTACAGAAGAGCCATCTGTAGCACGAATAATAAAAACACAGATACATACGGGGTTTCAACCTGAAGATCAGGAAAGCAAAGCTGACAGCCACTAGAGAGCTTAATCTCTGTAAAATCTTCAGACTGAAAGAACAAGTTCCTGCCTCATCCCTCTATATTCCTCTCTAGTGCTGGGATTAAAGGCACCACCACCACCTGGCCTCTGCGGTTAACTAGTGTGGTCACTGGGATTAAAGGTGTGTGCCACCACTGCCTGGTCTGTGTGGCTGACTAGTGTGATACCAATGAAATATCACTGCAGTTATCCTCTTGGGTAACTTATGAAAAAGGTTCTAATATATTAGGTTTTCACAGTAATGACTTTAACATGTGCCCTTCTCAGGCCACTGCTATTATGTAAATATGACCCTGTTTTTTTTAAAGTCCTTTTAACATGAGTATTTTTTCATTGAGTATGAGTAACCCATGTGATAGGTAGTTTTTTTTTTTTTAAACCGGTAATTATTATCAGGCACCCCCAACCCATGCACTTAAAATAAGGAAGAAATAAAAGGAATGTTTTTTGCTTCATAAGACAGGAAATAACACGAAAATATAAAGGATAATTTAAGGGTGAGTCAGAAAAAATGTTGAATAAAATTAATTTCAAATAGTCTATTATAGCACACAGCATTAAGCATGCCTTTAATCCCAGCACTCGGGAGGCAGAGGCAGGCGGATCTCTGTGAGTTCGAGGTCAGCCTGGTCTACAAGAGCTAGTTCCAGGACGGACTCCAAAGCTCCAGAGAAACCCTGTCTCGAAAAAACAAAAACAAAAAACCAAACAAACAAACAAAAAAAGCCTAAGTGTTCACCCTGCCCTCTTGCAGAGTTGTAAGTGGCCAGAGGGAGAGCCTGAGACCAAAATGGGAAATTGATGGCAGCTCCGCTGTAAGCGCAGCAGAAACGCTGGTGGGGAAGGAATGCTGGGTACGCGGTGAAGCAGAGCAGTGCGAGATGGGGAGGCCTGACTTCCCAGGCCAGTCTGGGCAGCCTAGTGCTGACTCCAACAGACAAGATGAGAGGCCAACGATGGCAGGGTTTTATCGTTCCCGTGTGGGTCTGTTCCTATGTCAATTGCAAAGGGATAGCGAATTATGTTTAGGAAACAAGTTTCAAAGAAGCTTATATAAAAGCTGAGCTAAAACTGGGGGTACACACTGGAAATTGGCGCTCACTTTAAAATGTGTTGATTATTGAGCACATCAGATTGGCTCCTTTTGAGAACAGCTTGCTGGGGACCTAAGAGTTTTCTGGCATGTGTTTTGGTGCTAGAGGGTGTGGGGCATCTAGCATATAAATGCCCTCGAGCCGTTGCTTTGAGAAAAGGTTTTGGGTTCTTGGTACCATTTGGGAAAGGCATCTTTAAGTGTTTAACAGAGAAGGGTGGAATCTCCTTTTAACCTCAAGGAAAATACATGACCGTATTGTGAAGAGTAAAGAAATGTCAGCTTTTTTTTTTTTTTTTTATGGTTTTTAAGAGTGGGATTTTTCGTTTCTTAAGTTGACCTGGCTCTCTTAGGCTCAAGCAGTCCCCACACCTTAGACCCCTGATTAGCTGGGGACTGTAGGTGTGTGCCACCCTGCCCAACCTAAATGTTAGTCTTGAGAGTGCTAAAGTAGACGGAAATGACCTGTCGGCCTGAAGGCTAGTGGCAGCACTAATTCTGAATTCTAATAAAAGTGCTATACTTTGTTCAAAACATTTTTATGCTTTCATTTTTTTCAATTTTTTTTTGTTCCACTTGACTTTTAAAATCTGTGTGTGTTGGTATTCAGTATCCTGAGAAAATTCACAAGGACGACAGGCAGCTGAGGGGCGTGGTCTCGGGGCCTCTGTCGTGGTTGGCACCATTGCTTTGGGCGTCTGGCAAGTCTGAATTATGAAAGGAGCATGTGGCCGGAACCTGTTCACCTGGTGGTGGTTTGAAAGTGAAAGGGGATAAGGGAGAGGCTGGGGCTGCTTTGCCCCTTTCAAGAACCCTATAGGGCCTACCTCTAAACCCCACTGACGCCACAGGCTGGGACAAAGCTTTCCACACATGGTCCTTAGGATCCAGAGATTTGGTTGTGGCAATCTATCCCCTGAGCTATTGATGTCTCGGTTGTTGATAGTGGGGATGGGATCTAGGGCCTCACACGTGCTAGGCAGATCTACTTACCCCAGCCCATCTTTACTTTTTATTTCGAGAGTTTCACTGGTTTGCCTAGGCTGACCTTGAACTTTCAGTCCTACTTGGGATATTGACTTTCAATTAGTACTACTGTTATAATAAAGAAAACCTGTATTGTCAATATTTAAATTACTACTTAGAGATTAAAATACAGGTATATATCACATTCTGTGAGATCAATTTTTTTCCCAGATTCTGCTACATTATTAAAGAACAAATTAAAATCTAGATCCTGTTGGTAGATTGGAACCCAGGGGAGCCTTGAGAGCAAATATTTCCTCCTTTCTAGAAGGCTGTACTGTGAGGGTATGCAGGGGTGAGGAGGGAGATGCCCATCAGCTGGGCTGTATGTGTGAGGATGTGCAGGGGTGGGGAGGAACGTGCCCACCAGCTGGGCTGTACATTTGAGGATGTGCAGAGGTGAGGAGGGAGTAGCCCCTCAGCTGCTTGAACAGTGCAAAGGCCTTGGCACCAGAGACATATGTTCTGAGGAGCCATCCATGCTGTCGGATTAGGAAAATGAAGGGCAGTGGGTAGTACCTGTCGGATTCACAGTTTCGCAGGGTAGGAAAGATGGAGGAGCAGTTTAACACAAGATAAGTTTCCAGCAAACTGCCCGCAGGACGTGACTGCTTTCAGGATGATGTTAAAAGTAGACACAAAAAGGATGGAATCTACTGGGTGGTGGCGCACGCCTTTAATCTCACCTCGAGGAGGCAGAGGCAGGAGGTCTTGAGTTCAAGGCAAGCCTGGTAGTGAGGTCCAGGACAGCCAGGGCTACATAGAAAGACCATATCTTTAAGGTGGTGGTACTGGGGGGGGGGGCATGGAATCTTACCACAGGACAACATGGATAGAACTTCTGGAGGTTACTGTGTTCAGTGAAAAGAGCCAGACACAGAGACTTAATACCACATCCACTAGCAGAGACTAAAACTATGTTGACCACATAAAAGTATAGGGTAGCACAGAGATTACTAGAAACCAGGAAGGGAGGGGGGGGGTAGAGAAAGTTAGTAATGGATTCCAAAATAAAATTAGTAGTGGGAAGTCGTTCTAACATCTTTGAATGGAATCACTGTAAGACTCACATTTTCCAAAGTAGAGGACTGAGTTCCCGACACATCAAAATGATAGCGTGAGATCACAGAAATGCTAATTACCCAGCTTTGGTTGTTTTAGTGCCCACGGTATCAAATTATACTATATTCCATAAAAAATGCAAATACCGTGACAGTTACAAAGCAAACAAGTAGACAGCACAGAACTAGGTACATAGGAACACGGAACACAGGTTCTTGCCTCCCGAGTTTGAAGAAGGCCTTTCCGGGTTGGGTTAAGAGGTTCAGCTCACAGTCTCCATGAGCTCGTATGTGTATCCATCTTGTTGTGTCTGGAAAATGCTGGTTCCTTGGGGTCATCATTCCTTGGTGACCTGCACCAGGCTTTTTCTCTTAGGCCACCAACCAACTCCCAAATCACGACGCAGACTTATTCTTAGCTTTCAGTGCTTCACCTATCTTATGCACGTTTCTGTCTAACTTTTTTTTGTTTGTTTTTTTTTTTTTTTTTTTTTAAACTTAACCTGTTTCTCTTTATCTACATCCTGCATTGGGGCTTTTTACCTGTTCCTATTTTCTTGGTGTCTCTGTTTCTGCCTGGTTGGCAGCCACCTGGCTTCTGGCCCCGGATATCTTCTCTCTCCTATAAATAGGAGTTTAGACTTCTCCTATTTATTCTCTCTGCCTGCTAGCTCCGCCTGTCCTTTCTCTGCCTAGCTATTGGCCCTGCGGCTCTTTATCAGACCCATCAGGGGCTTTAGACAGGCAAGGTGAACCAGGTGCGACACATCTTTACATCATTTAACAAGTAGAGTAGAAAACAAAAGTAACACAGCTTTGCACGGTTAAAGTTAATATCCTGCCGCAACAACAAATGCAGTAGTATTCCGCAACACCCACCTCTGAATCTTACAGTCTCTTCTGCCTCCTCCTCCTCTTCCACAGAGGTTTTCATAGGACATCCCACTGGGGTTCAGTGCTCCACAGTCTCTCACGCTCTGCACTTTGTCCAGCTGTGGTCTCTGTTAATCACCATCTCCTGCAAAAACAAGCTTCTCTGCTGAGGGCTCTGCGGGTATAGCGTGGGGAGAACTCCATAGGTTCAAACCAGACAAAAATCCCAGCACTAAGAAGGGGACGTGGGCCCAGGTCCTCCCCTAACCAAGAAGCTATATGCAAGTGATACCTGACGGGAAAGGGGAATCCGTTTCCTCCCACTGAGTCCCTGGGTATATCCACTACACCCCAGGGCAGGCCCTACGCCCAGGAATTGTTGGCCAATACAAAACAGAATCCATGTTTTTTATGGTTTTTTTTGTTTTGTTTTGTTTTAGAAGTTTTTCTTATTGATTTTCCTTCTTTAAATTTTGACTTAACATTTTATGTTTTTGGTTGTTTTTCCTGTGGGTTTTGTTTGTTTTGGGAGAGGGAAAGAATATGATCAAAATATATTGTAAAAGTTTTTTTTAAAAAATAAAAATGTAAAAAGTAGTTCAGCTCACCAGGCAGTGGTGGCGCACGCCTTTAATCCCAGCACTCGGGAGGCAGAGGCAGGTGGATCTCTGTGAGTTTGAGGCCAGCCTGGTGTACAGAGTGAGTTCCAGGACAACCAAGGCTACAACAGAGAAACAAAGCAAAACAGTAAGTAGTTAGGATCACAGGGCTGGGGTGTGGCTCTGGAAGAGCCGCCCAGCCCTCACAAAGTTTAATCTCTGAAATAATGGGAGATTATTATACAATGCAAGCTCATCTTCAGCTACATAGCATGCTTGAGGCCAGTCTGGCTGCACGAGACTCTGTCTCAAAAAAATTAAAGTTCATCTCACAAATACCTCACTAGGTTCTTCACGGCCGAGGAACTAATTTAGTCGGTGTTGCATTCTGTCCCTAAGGGCAGAGAGTCCGATGTATTAATTACCAGTTAAGTTTTCTCTGGGTTTCAGTGACATCTCCTGAGACCAGTTCTGGGGAGGATGTGATTATGATCTCATGTTTTTTTTCCACCGCTAGGGCCTTTAACTCCCTACAGTCTCCAGCCTTTGTCTGCATGAGGTAAACAAAGCTGTTCTCCTTGCTAAAGCCAGAGAGCTTGGCTGTCTTGCGTTTTTTCCTCTTTTAAATTTCTTTAATTACATATACTCCATGTATACAAAATAAGTGTAAAAAGTGGGTGAGGTGGTATAAAAATTAGTAGCCTTCACCCAAACAATTGTATATTCTTAGACCTGTTTACACACACACACACACACATGCACACACACACCTCCTCATTCGCTTAACAGAATGCAATAGATATCACTCCAAGTCAATAACGGATTCAAACTTAATGATTTAATTTTAAATATTGTATGGGCTTGCCATTGAGTGAATGACTATTCTCTTGGTAGATCCTCGGGGATTCTCTCTTCGTTTTCCACACACTAGCTAACAGTGCTACTTTACCTTTGTAGACTTACCCTTTGGTGCTTTCGTTCTGTATTCTGTGGCGAGCACTCTGAAAAGGGAAATTGTGAGGTCAAAGGGTTAAAACCACTTAAACACTACATGCAGGTTATAGTGTTTGTATTGTCCTTGAAGTGGGAGGATCCGCTCTAAACGTGGGTGCACCATGTCCTGGGCTGCGGCCCTGGCCTGCGTAGAAAGGAGGCAATGAGCCGAACATGACTTCCTGACTACAGGGCCGTGTGGCCAGCTGCCTCGCACTGCTGCTGTGCCCTCCCCACCCGACAGACTGGACCCTCAAACTGAATTGAAATAACCCGTTTTAGCCTGTTTTTGTCCAATGCCTTGTCACGAAAGTGGCCAATATGCAAAGTCACAGTGGCTTTTTTCCTATGACTTCAAATTTTTGACTGGCTTGGAACTCACTCTGTAGACCAGGCTGGTCTCAAACCTACATACATCTGCCAGCCTCTGCCTCCTGAGTGTTGAAATTAAAAGTGTGTGTAACCATAAAAAAAAAAAAAAGACTTCAAATTTTTAAGAAGCTTTTTTAAGGAGGACTCATTGATTTTATTATCATATCTGTTTCTTTTTTTTTTGAAGATTTATTTTTCTACTATGTACACAGTATTCTATATCCATGTATGCCCATAGTCCAGAAGACAACGTATCTCATTACAGATGGTTGTGAGCCACCATGTGGTTGCTGGGAGTTGAACTCAGGACCTCTGGAAGAGCAGCCAGTGCTTTTAACCTCTGAGCCGTTTCCCCAGCCCCTTAAGAAGTTTTTTTTTTTAACACTGTCATCGTGTGGGTGAGTGAGTGAAGCATATGATGTGCCCATGAGCGGGCACACACGTGCCACAGTGTATGTGTGGCGTTGGGACTTCCGGAGTCAGCTCTCTCACAGTGGGTCTGGATTCCGGGACCCAAAGCAGGTGTCAAGGCTTGCACAGCAGTGTCTGAACCCACTACACAGTGGCTCTCAACCCGTGGCCAACATATCCTGCATGTCAGATACTTACAGCTCCTAACGGTGGCAAGATGACAACTGTGAATTAACATCAAAAATAGTTTTACCGTTAGGGTCACCGCGACATGAGGAACTGTATCATAGCGTCGCAGGGTTGGGAAGGGTGAGACCCGCTGCACTAAATCATCTCACTGGGCCAACTGCAGCTTGGTGGCTGATTGGTCGCAAGCTGCTCAGCCTTTGTAATCCCTGCGTTTACTAGGATGCTTCACTGCTGGCTGTCATGACGCCTTTGTCACCTGGGACGCTGCACCTTTTTGTCAATTCCTCTTTTTTTTTTTTTTTTTTGACCATTTTCTTATGTCTTTAAACTTTTCGTTGCCCAGGCTTCTCTGACTTGTCCTGTGTTCCACCGTTACTTTGTTTCCAGTATGGTCTTTAGCTCCCTGATGCTTTTTTTCTTTTTATTATTTTCTTTCTTTCTTTCTTTCTTTTTTTTTTTTTTGGTGTTTCAAGACAGGGTTTCACTGTAGTTTTAGAGCCTGTCCTGGAACTAGCTCTTGTAGACCAGGCTGGCCTCGAACTCACAGAGATCCGTCTGCCTCTGCCTCCCAAGTGCTGGAATTAAAGGCATGTTCCACGACCACCCGGTTTCTTATTATTCTCAGACATGTTATTTTTAATCATGCGTATGTGTGAGTACGTGCGTGTGCGTGTGGGCATCCCAGTCCAGAGGTGTTGGACTTCCTGGAGCTGGAGTGACAGGTGGTTGTGAATCATGAATGTGGGTCCTGGGAACTGAACTCAGTCCTCTGGAAGAGCAGCCTGGATCCTAATTGCTAGCCGGCTTTCTAGCTCTCTCTTTTTAAACTCAGGCCTGCTTCGGGTGTTTCCCCAGGACCTGAAGTGAGCAGGGGTCATGTGGCAAGCAGCTACCTACCATATGGACAGTACAGCCTCAGAAGAGAGTAGAGGTTTGCCCTCTTACCAATAATTTGCTTCCTTACTCTGCATTGTGCCGCTGACCTCCAGAGATCTGAGGAAATCTAAGGCTTTGCCATAGTTTGGAAACCCCTGTGATGGCAGAACACATCACCGGTGAGGTAACTGTCGTGTAGAAGTGACTAAGGCGTCTCTAACTTTGGCTGCGGAGTTCGGGGATTCCCTGGCTCTAATCCCAGCCTCTCTGAGACACCTTCAAATGATGGCATTTGTAGATTTCTCACAGGGGCAGACTGTTCTCATTAGAAGGTCCCACTACACAGCCTATGGGTGGGTGTGTTCTTCAGTCAACTAAACGGGCACGTTAGGGACCTGGCCAGTTGTCCTGCTCAGTGACGTTTTCAGAAACTCCGACGCACGGTGGGATCTCTGAGAGCTCCGGAGCGGAGGGAGGGGCTTAGGATCCTGCTGTCTTCCATGGCGCTCACCTGGACGGCTGAGTAGCCAGCTGGCTCTCAGCCAACAATGTCCCGCGAGAAACTTTACAGGGCCGAGGGATCTAAGCTTAAAGAACATCTCTGGAAAGACAAGAGCTTACGAGCGTGTGGGAACGGCAGCGCGGAAGGAACGTCCTACAACTGCTTTGACCAGCGTCAAAGTATTCGTCGATTTCTGCTGCGGCGCCACAGTGCCACCTCCTGGATGTAAACGGAAAATTCTGAGTTTTTAAAGTCCTCATCACATATATTAAAATGATTTGAATTTGGGGTCATGGCAGGTTCTAAATACTTATATTCTGTCCTACAGTTAAGGAACTACTTAACCAAATCCTCGAAAACTCGAGATAGAACATTGTAGTTCGCAGCCTTAGAGAACCTTCTAAAATTCTTATCTTTGGCTTTTTAAAGCCTTAAACACTGCCAAGGTCCCACTTGGGTCCTCTGATTGTCTCTCTGTCCTCGAGCCAAAGGAAAGATATGGAATGATTCCCAGAAATCAGAAGCCCCTGCCTCCTGAGCAGGTCGAGCCCATTTTTTTTCCTTTCCCACGTTCTGCTCATGTACGGTGGGGGAACCCAAGTTCCTACAGTCGTGCAGGGGAGACTGTCCCTTCTGGTGGAAGGGAGGGTGACAGATGCGGGGCTACAGCATCACCTTGACACTGGTCCTCGGTTACCTCAGACCTCATTTACAGCGCTGGCAAAGCCAGGGTCCCCAGGCTAGCACGGGACAAGAACAGCGGTGCCATTGCGTAGACTGTGGGTATCTGCCTCTTAGAATTAACTGGGGGCAGATCAGGTTAGAATCCTACCTGGAAAAGGCTAACAGAGGCTGGATTTTGTGTCCTTGTTCCTGGCTCTACTTCAGTATTCTTGAGGTGAGATCAAACCTGGGTCTGACTGAAGAGAGCTGCCTACCCGGTCTTCTGGGGGCAGGTCCAGGTTCCCATCAGTGAGGACGAGAGGCGGTTAGGGAATGCTGAAGGTGACCGCATCTGCAGAGGGAGAAGGGACTGTCCTAGAACACAGCTCCTGGACCAGTTCCAGACGGTGTCGCTAGGATGGATCTGTCTTTTTGCTTATTCGTTTATCTGGACGCAAGAACTCACTGTTTAACTCAGGCCTGACTCAAACTTACTACATAGCTCAGGTTGGCCTTGAATTTTAGATTCTCCTGCGGCAGCCTCCCCCAAAGTGGGGTTATAGGTCTGTACCCCCATGCTCAGTCGTGATGTGTCTTGTTAGAAAATACTATTATGAGTCTGGCGGTGGTGGTGCATGTCTTTATGCCCAGCACTTGGGAGGCGGAGGCAGGAGGATCTCTGTGAGTTCGAGGCCAGCCTGGTCTACACAGTGAGTTCTAGGACAAACAGGACTAGACAGTTTTCTCAAGAGAAGTAAAGAAACCGAGCTGGAGCTGGAGTGGGGTAGACATCTGTGCCCAGAGGGAGGTGAACTTGACGTTAGCAGTTTGAGATGAGTCTGGGCAACATAGTTAGGCCCCCATGTTCAGAAAAAAAAATTATTGTAGTGAAACCTGGTTCCTACCCAGCCTCCACTGAGAGTTTTTGATTCTGATCTCCATTCCTAGTTTGCTCGAGTCTGCTGATCCTATCTCCAGCTCTGGGATGGGCCTTAATTGGCCTAAAATGATTAGGATAAACCTCTTTCCTAATCACTGCTTCAGCTAGTTGGCATTTCTTGCCAAGAGGGTGGTTTAGACACTCCTATGATCTGATTTGACGCAAGGTGGAAGGGGACGGGACTTTTGGAAAACAATGGCCAAGCTCTTCAGGGCGGGCTCCATTGCAGAGGGTTAGCATACGGATATGACTCCACCCACCCACCCACCCACCCATACACACCAAGCAGAGCCTTCTGCCTCAGGAAAGGAACTGGACCTGAGCATTAGGCTGGCATCACAGAAGAAAGGAAGGGGGAACTTTGTAACATCGCTGCTCTGTGAAACCCTTAAACACCTCTGGACTCTGTGAGCTTGCTAACACATTGACATGTGTTTCTGCTATGTAAGAAGCTTCCTGTAGTGAGCCGTGCAAGGCCACAGGTGAAATGCCTGTGAGACCCAGTGGAACTGTGGGAAAGCTCTCCAGCCCAAACCACACAAAACAAGTACTCAGAAGCAGTGTAGTAGAGGGTCTTACAAGGCAGAGCAGCTGGTTTAAACCGGTTCTGCCTCTAAGCAGCCCAGGAATAAGCTTCCCTGCTGCTTCAGTCCTTGGCTCCTGGGAAGGAACTGCTAGTTTTTTCACACCAAGCATTTCTACAATCGGTGTTTCTTGCGGACTTGGTTTTTAACAATCAGGTCATCACAGTACATTTTCTCCTGTACTTACTGGCAAGGCACACACTACAAATCAGCAGTTATGTTATTACTAGATGAGCCTAACCCGGCTGGGCGCGTTGTGCATGTCTGTGTATAACCCGGCAAGTGGGAGGCTGGGGCAGCGGGAGCTGCAAGGCTGCACATTGACTTAGGGAGACCCTGTCTCAAAGATCAAAATGAACAACAACAATCTAGAGTTCTATAATGTAGGTAAGATAAGTGAAACATATTTGTTATCATCTTAGCTACATATAGACATATACAACATGTGTTATTGAGAGATACACGCTATCTATACAGATCTAGGGACACAGGCTCACATATCAGGCTGACCTGAAACTCTATTATGTAAAGGATCATCTCGAACTCATCACCCCCTGCCCTCACGTCCAGAGTGCTGGGATTACAGGTGTGAACCATCACACCAGTTTATGCAGGGCTGGGGATCGAACCCAAGGCTGAGTGCCTAGCGGGACGCACTGCCAACTGAGCTACCACCCAGCTCACAGATGGGATCTCTGGTGGGCTTTTCAATGAAAAGAACTTCCAGGTAATCTTTCTCCTCTTCTTTTTTAAAAGACTTATTTTTTTTAATTTGTATGTATGTATGTGTCTGTCTGTTTCTGTGTATCTGTGTATACATATGAGTGTGGGTGCTCTGAGATCAGAGGCTCTGGATCCCTTGAAGATGGAGTTACCGGCACTTGTGAGGCATCCCACATCGGGTTGTTGGGAAGTGAACTCAAGTCCTCTCCAAGAGCAGCAAAGCTTCTTATCCGCTAGCCATGGCCCCACCACTTCTTTACTCTTTTAAGATCTTTGGAGATTCCTAAGAACTTCTCGATTTGAAGATTTACAAGGTTTTCAAAACTAACTGACTGACATTACGTTACAGGTCTACAATTATTTACTTTTTCACAAATGTCCCATACACTTTTTAAAAGATATAAAAAACATTTTGGCATTTAAATAAACATCTTAAAATGGAAGTTGGATTATAAAGCAGCATGAAATGGTTTTCACTTGTAAACAGAATTAGGAACCCCCAGAATCCACAAACACTGTGGTGATATGAGGCTCAAGGCACCAATGGGAGTCAAGGGAGCTAGGTTCCCGCTGTCGTCTTGCACACGGTGATCTTCAACTGGTCTCCTGATGTCTGCGATCAGAGGCACCACCGTGGACAGCAGAGGGTGAGGTTGATCATCCTGATTGGCTTGTCCAGCTGTCCCGTGGTGAAGCCATAAAATTAGAGTAACATATTTCAGGCTGTTTAATGTGTATGTGTGTGCACATACACACGGGAATCACATGCCTGCAGGTGTTCTCAGAAGTCAGAAAAAAATGTCGGGACAGCCTGGAACTGGAGTTTCAGGATGAGTCCTCTGATGTGGGTGCTGGGGGCCAAGCCCAGGACCCCTGGAAGAGCACCAAGTGCTCGTAACTACTGAGGCGAGGCATCTCTTCGGCTCCAACGGAGAGGGATTTTAGAGCCTATATTTAATGGATAGATTTAAATTTTCTACTTTTATTTTAATCTGATTTGTGCGTGTGTATTCCACTGCCTATGTCTGGACACATATATATGTTTTCTT